TGTGGTCAGAATTCCACATACAACTTTTGACTCCCCAAAAACTTAGCTACCAACAGTCTGCTGTTGACTGGAAGCCTTATCGACAAAATAAATGGTTAACGTGAGTTTTGTATATTACATGTGTGATATGCTGTATTCTGCAATAAAGCTCCAGAAGGTGTGATTAAGAAAATCCTAAGAAAGAGAAAACACATTTACAGTGCTGGACTGCATTTATCGGAAAAAAATTGACACAGAAGTGGATCCATGTTGTTCAGGGGTCAACCATATAGGGGAATCGGAACAGAGAGGGATTTGGCATCGTTACTCCGTTTAAGGAGTGACCGCTAGTCTTTGAGATTTTTTTTTCCTGCCAATTTTGGGGTAAATTTCAGGTAATTCTTCTGAATATAGTGGCCAGTTGGTTCAGACGCTGTCAACCAAGCCAAGTCCATGGTGGTATTTGTGAGCCAGCTGTTCCCCGGGCCAGAGAGACCGCACTGTTGCTGATGTTGGGCGTGGGGCCGCTGTGGGAGCCGTGAAAGGCTTTAGGCTTTGCTGGCCTCCCCATGTTTCTCCACAGGCTACTACGATGTCAGCTGTGTGAGCTTTTGGGATTCCGTCTCCACCTTTAACATGTAAGTGTTCTTTCAGCTTGTGGTCTTAGAGGAAAGATGGCACCGATGGGAAGAGTCCGCACTCAGGAGGCCAGAACGGACAAACAGCGACCTCATGATTAGTAGGGCATACATTCATTTTGAGCTAAAATTTGTAAATAGCCCCCAAATTCTGATAGTTTCACTAGAACTGGTTTTTACAAAACAGTTCATTTGTGAGCTTGAGTAATGTCTTTTGCCTTAACGGTAACTGCCGCCGTCTGGACCAGGGGACCAGGGGACCAGGGGAGCGTGTGGGAGCCTCAGCTAGAAAGTATCCAGGCGGGCAGTGTAGTCATACCAGTGAAATTCAGCCGTGTTCTGTGACTGACGGCGTGATACCTTAGTATCTTAAAAGTTCAAACAAAATAATATCGGTTGACTGCAATAGAAGTGAGACTGGAGGGGCGCCTGGGGGGCTCACTCGGGACTTCGGCTCAGGTCGTGACCTCACGGTCCCCACGTCGGGCTCCGCGCTGTGTGAGGCACGCCTGAGATTCTCTCTTTCTGCCCCTCTCCTGCTCGCACGCACTCTCTCTACAACAAAACGAAACAAAACTTGTAAAAAATGAGGCTTGAGGTTATGAATTTGCTTCAGTTTGGATGGATCATTAATCCTCACCCTCATTTCATTGAAATTACGTATAATTTCTGTGTTCCACGCACTGGGCTGAAGTGTGCTGCTAAAATGACTTCTTGGCGCACTTTTCTTAATTCTCAGGGGAAAAAATTGGTCGATAGGTCTAATGTCCTCAGATTAAAATTTTGGCCTGTGTTCTTTGCCCTATCAGATGAGCTAGTGGATGAGGAAGTAACTGAGAACAATAGCTTTCACACCGAGTGGAGTCACAGTCACCTGGAGGGCTTATTAAAAGCAGGTTGCTGGATTTCACCCCAGGTTTTCTGCTTTTTATCTGAGTGAGAATCTCAGTTGGGACTTAAGTGGAGAGATTACTTACTGTTCCTTTTGTCCCTTAAATCTCTCCGAAGCCGCGTCGCTCTTTTCTGTTCCACGTGTGTGTAGTTCTATTTTGTGTCTCATCATCGAGGGATATCAGGACTCCTGAGTCCTAAAAACACATTCTCCAGCCATTGTCCACGAGTTGTGTGTTCCGTGAGGGCGTTCTCGAGATGGGCTTCCTCAAGGACCAGATGCACCTCGCCTGGTCCTGGTCCTGGTCCTGGTCCTGGTGCTGTCCTGGTCCTGTGAAGGTGCAGACTCGGGGCGGAGGCGGGAGGGCGGCAGTCACGTCTCAAGGAGAGGACTTGAGAGGGTCAGGTTATAACTGTGGTATTTTACAGCCTGGGACACATACAGAGATCGTTCCTGTTAGGCATAGGCCACACCTTCGTTTATTGATCCTTTCGTCACTCGAGGGCCCCGGATCCAGTTTGTGCTGGAGAACAGGAAAACGAGTTCTTGGCCTCAGGAACCCGGGCAGCGAAGGAGGCAGGCAGACCATTGCAGTGCAGCGACATAAGGGTTTTCACCTAAGTTTTGTAGTAGGGACGTCCACCTGAATCTGGCGGTGAGGGTCAAGGAAGACCCTGGAGCGTGAAGAGGTTGGCCAGACGAAGAGATGGGTCAGACTGTTACAGGCACAGGCGAGGGAAGAGTGTCGTGGGCCTTGCCTTTTTTCCAAGCTTTCTTTGTCTTTATGCTTCAGAAGCATACTGCTCCTAATTCCTCTGCCTCTTCTTCTGAGTACACATACAGGACATTTGGTCGTCAGTAGGTCTCGTGTTCAGTCTGATAAAACGTAATAATTGAAAAATCTCCAGCTTATAACCACTGTGTCTGTAGTTTTACCTGCCTTTCCTTTTTTTCTTTTTAATTTTTTTCATGTTTAGTTTTGAGACCGAGACAGTGCGGGTGGGGGGAGGGCCAGAGAGAGGGAGACCCAGAATCCGTAGCAGGCTCCAGGCTCCGAGCTGTCGGCACAGAGCCTGACGCGGAGCTCGAACCCACGAACGGTGAGATCGTGACCTGGGCTGAAGTCGGACGCTTCACCAGCTGAGCCACCCAGGCGCCCCGTACCTGCCTTTTCTGTTGTTCGTGCAGCGTCTTCTGGGTTTCGTGAGGCGGACAAGAACAATGAAAGGCTAGGCAAATGAAAGTTGAGTGCTAATTGAATTTAAGTGAAAGAGCCAGGAGAAGAATACATAGTAGAGAACGTTTGTAAACAGCATCCTTAGTACGGATCAGACATTCTTTACCTTTGTACGTAAGCGTGTGGCTCACACACACGCTTTACCACTGTGAATTCACACACGAGTCCTGTGACCGTGGAGGAGACCTGAGATCAGGTAAAAAATTCAGTGTTTCGTATTTTTGTTGGGTATTGTTAAAGGCGTGACCAAGTATACATTTCTGGAAGTACCTCAGAATAGTTTATCATTTGTGTTGCTCTGTGCGTTCGTAAAAAAATAAGGGAAGTCGGCCTCTGGGTGGTCTAGCGAGAGACCCTCGGGTGGCAGTGCCGGGTTCTCCTAGGGATCCTGCCCCCAGCCTGATTGTGTGGCTCTGGGCACGAGCGTCAGCCTCTCTGGCGTCAGTTCCACATGCAGATGGAAGGAAAAGTTCAGATAGCTCTGAACTTTTGTGTTTTTGCACTTTCTTATCCTGGAGCCTTTTTAGTCTGATTTATATTAGAGCATAATTCCATAATGAGGTGATGCCACGGACATCCCTTTCTGTGATCTGTTACACTCTTATTTCCAAAGGGCCTTACAGATTATGAGCATCCCTCACTAGCCAAATCATTCACTTCCCAAATTCAGCTAATTAAAATTCAGATGGTGAGGGATATCTCTATATTGGCAGATATTACAATTACTCAATTTTTTGTTGCTGTTGTAAAGGCAGACATTTCATGATGGGCAAGACTTTGATATTTGAGTATCAGTCCCTGAAGTACCTTGAGCATTGACTTCAAACTGACAACAGAAAGGCAGAGCTGTTGTGGACAAAGCTTGACTTAGACCCCTTTTCTTAAGCTCTCCTTGTAACAGGAGAGAACATCCTTGGGATTTTCTCACACAGTTAATACACTGTTCCCAAAACATGTAATTTTTTTTAATATTCATTTGCTTATTTTGTTTTTAAAAAAAAATTTTTTTTAATGTTTTCATTTATTTTTGAGACAGAGAGCATGAGCAGGGAAGGGGCAGAGAGAGAGGGAGACACAGAATCTGAAGCAGGCTCCAGGCTCCGAGCTGTCAGCCCAGAGCCCGACACGGGGCTCGAGCTCACAGACTGTGAGATCATGACCTGAGCCAAAGTCGGACACTCAACTGACTGAGCCACCCAGGCGCCCCTATTTGCTTATTTGGGAGAGAGAGAGAGAGAGAGTGCACAAGCAGGGGAGGGGCAGAGAGAGGCGGAGAGAGAGAGAGAATCCTGAGTGAGTTCTGTACTGCCAGCACAGGGCCCAACGCCGGGCTTGAACTCAGGAACTGTGCGATTGTGACCTGAGCCAAAATCAAGAGCCCGATGCTTAACCGACTGAGCCACCCAGACGCCCCTACCAAAACGCGTAATTTGAGCAGATTATTAAGCTGTACCTAAACGTCCGCATAACAAGGTGCAAAATTATTCTTACTGGCAAGCGAGAGATAGACACTTACGAGCACTTAACTCTTTGTCGGTGGCTGTTTGCAGCACAAGCAGTGAGCAACACGAGTGAATTCCTCTCCAGAGTCTGGGCGTGCTGAGTGACAGCACAGATGACACCGGATGGCTTGGGGAGCCGAGTGGTCCTTAAAGAGTGGAAACATTAGTTACTAAATTACCTTTTTTTTTTTCCTCCAAAAAAGTCTTTATTATTTATTACATACAGAGGGGAGGAGTTCAGTCCTTGGCTGCCACTCTCCTCACGGCTGCCAGGACGTCGCTCAGCACCTCTCTCGTCCTTTTGGCATGGATGTGCGTCCCCTCCCTTTTCTCGATGAACTTGTGGTGCGCTTGTCCTCGGAGGCGTCGGGCAGCGCATGGCGCACCTCGGGTGGCGTCCTGCACGAACTCGGGGTGTGCTTGGTGAGGGGGCCACGGCCGGGCCTTGGCTTGCTCCTGTCCTTCCCTCCTGGTGGCCCTTGCTGAGCGCCCCCACCCCCGCCAAACGCAGAGCCTGGGCTGCTGCTCCTCGGTGGCCCCTCGGTGGCCCCTCGGTGGCCCCAGCAGCCCGAGACGGAATTCCTTTCAATACTTTGTATCTTTCTCAAGGGTCCGGGCAGTATGGTCTCTTACGTACTTACCTCCCGGTTCTGTTTTTCATGTTTTGTTTTGTTAGGAGAGAACGTTGGAATTATTCTCTAAGCTATCTGAAGAGAACGACTCAATGCACCTGGGTCAGGCGGTCTGTGGGCATGAAGTGGTTGGGAGAATCCAAGAACATGGTGGTGAATGGCAGGAGGAGTGGAGGCAAGTTGTCTAATGACCATCCGCAGAGCCCGGCCAAATTGCAGCCCGCGGGGAAGGAGGCCGCGAAGGCCGGCAGACACGCGGTTGAGAGGAGGTCGAGCAGATGTATGTACACGATGCAACTGTCATTTCCGTTGTCGCGCGGGGCGGTGATTCTTCGCAGCTTGTAACGTGTATTCTGTCTCTGCTGTTTTCAAAACAAGTTTTCATGTGCTCCCAGCTAACGGTGCAGGTTTTTCTTTCCTTCTTTCTTTTTCACCCTTTCAGAGTTTTGACAGTCCTTACTCTCCTCTGACGTGTACGCCTCTAGTTCGGTGCTTAATAAGATCGCTTTAATTATGCTTTTGTATCCATAACTTTAAGTTCTATTTTGTAGCGTGGATGTCTGAATGGCTGACCTGCTCTATAAACTGTATTAAAGTGCTGCTGCTGAATTTCTTTGAAGTTCAAACTGTATTTTTATGTTTGATGTAAGTATAAGTATGTATCTCTTTGAAAACTGAGACGTGTGAATAATAAATTCAACTCTCATTTACAGGGGAAACGGAATTTAGGGCAGCGTCACAAATTGTTGCCGTTCCTTCCGTTTCTGTAGGGCGGACGGTGGTGTATCCCGACATCAGAGCACTGTTGATGACGCGTGACTTCTCACCTTGCTCCTCCTTGGTGAGGGTGGGGCTGCTTGTGGAGAGTTCAAGAAATAGTTCTTTTAAGAGCAGGACAGTGCCCCGGGATGCGTGTGAGCCTTAGGTAGGCAGCTGCCTTAGGTGAAGATACCCAGTGGCGCACAGCCGCGTGAGGGAGGACGGCTTTTTCCGTTCTTGTTTTTCCTGAGGTTAATTTAGCCCCTCCGGAACATCCTTCGTTTGCGTTGGAATTGGCCCGCTCTGAGTAGGGTTGGCTCTGCCTGGCATTTGGAACGGTTTCAGGTAGATTGCACCAGTCCTGACTGATTACCCTCATACCTGTTAGAGGTTTATGCAGTTTACGGGGCCCAGGCTGCCCTTAGCCTCTCCATATCAGAGCAGGTCACTGTGTCTGTAGTACACGAGGCAGAAATCCCTGCTCGGGGTAGGAGGGAGAGAGCCCAGGACTGGATAGATTTCTCCTATTCGTGGACACCCGCCCACCCTGTAGCACGTGACGGGAACCGAAAGGAATTGAGAAACGTAACGACTATAGCAGGGGTATTGGTTCCGGGCGGTAAATTAGGCGACTTTTTTTGGTCGGTTTTTAATTTTTCCATATTGCTGTTGGCCTTCTTTTTGGGCATCCCAGAGCAAAAAGGTCTTACAGTTGTTGGAGGTACGTGATAATTTAGAAAAACGATCGTTAGATGGGCTACGCTTTGCCGTGTGTAGACAGATTTAGAGGACAGGCTGGAAAAACCCAGAGAGTTGAAGACGGACAGCATCGTATTGAGTGTCATTGGACACGAATGATACAAAAAGAGAGCCAGTGATGAAGCAAAACAAAGCAATGTTCCATCTTAGGTAAACCTCAGTGATTTCACGTGACAGAGCCACAAAATACACGAAGCAGACGCTGACAGCATTGAAGGGAGAAACAGACAATTCAGTGATTTGGAGACGTCAGTTCCCCACTTTGAATAGCGAACAGAACAGTGAGGCAGAGGATGAACAGGGAAAGACTTAGACACTACCCTAAACCAGTGCTTCCTGACAAACATCTGTAGAACACTCCACCCACCAACAACGCACGTTCTTCTCAGGTGCACGTGGAACGTTCTTCAGGATAGGCCATAGGCTAGGCCACGCAACAAGTCTCAACAGACCTGAAAGGATTGGAGCCATACATCGTACGTTCTCTGACCACAGTGGAGTAAAATTAGAAGTGAATAATGGAAATTTGAGAGAATCACAATCGTTGACTCCTTGAAAAGCTCGACAAAGTCGGCAAACCTCTATCCAAGACTAATCAAGAAAAAGAGCAGAGTCAAGAATGAGAGAGGGGACATTACTGCTGCATTACAGAAATAAAAAAGGTTATAATGGACTACTCTGAACACTTGGATGCCAACAAACTCGGTACCTTAAATGAACAAATTCCTAGAAAGTCACGAACTACCAAAATGGATTCAAGAAGAAACACAAAAATCCAAATAAACCTGTAGCATGTAAAGAGGTTGAATCAGTAATTTTTAAAACACACTACTAAGAAAGTCTCAGGCCTGGATGGCTTTGTTGGTGAATACCGGCAGACCTCTAAAGAGGAATCAACACCAGTTCTTTACAGACTGTTCCAAAAAGTAGAAGGAAAGGGAGCACTTCCTCATGCAATAAGACCAGTATTAACTCTGCTACCAACACCAAAGACCTCACAAGAAAAAATACCCTAAAAAGTACAATATCTCTATTAAAGTATGGACACAAAATCCTCAACAAGATACTAACAAACCAAATCCAGCAACAAGTGAGAATGATTCTGTTGCATAAGCAGGTGGGATTTATCCCAGGAATGCAAAGTTGGCTTTAAACCTGAAAATTAATGCTCCCACTTCAGTAGCATGATGGACAAAACCCATATGATCATTCCAATAGATGCAGAAAAAGCATTTGACAGAATTCAGCACCCTTTCAGGGTAAAAGCACTCAACAGAGTAGGAACGGAAGGAAATTCTTCAACCTGATAAAGGACATCTACAGAAACCCACAGCTCATGTCCTACTTAATATTGAAAGACCAGTAAATGCTTTTCCCCTAAGATCAGGAACAAGACAAGTATCTTTTCTCACTGCTTCTGTTCACTATTGTGCTAGAGGTTCTAACCACAGCGTTTAGGCAAGAAAATGAACTAAAAGGCATTCAGGTTGGAAAAGAAGTAAAAACCATCTCTCTTTGCAGACGACGTGATTGAGGAATCCACTAAAAAACATTAGAGCTTGGGGCGCCTGGGTGGCTCAGTCAGTTAGGCGTCCGACTTCAGCTCAGGTCATGATCTCACTGTCTGTGAGTTCGAGCCCTGTGTCGCGCTCTGTGCTGACGGCTCAGAGCCTGGAGCCTGCTTTGGATTCTGTGTCTCCGTCTCTCTCTGCCCCTCCCCTGCTCATGCGTGCGTGCGCGCTCTCTCTCTCTCTCTCTCTCTCTCTCTCTGTCTCAAAAATAAATAAAAACATTAAAAACAAACAAAAAACATTAGAGCTTATAAATGAGCTCAGCAGTATAGATCAGCACGCAAACTATAAAACTTACAGTTTGAAAACTGCAAGACATTATTGAAAGAAATTAAAGAAGACCTAAATAAATGGAAAGACATCCCATGTTCATTGATTAGAAGACTTAATATTGTTATGATGGCAGTACTCCCCAAATGATCTACAGATCTACAGGGATCTGTAGGGATCTACAGGGAGCGAACGCAGTCCCTATCAAAATCTCAATTGGCTTCTTTGCAGAAATTGACAAACGGATCCTAAAATTCTTGTGGAAATTCAAGGAACCCAGAGCAGCGAAAACAGTGTTGAGAAGGAACAAAGATGGCACACTCACTTCTCAGTTTCAAAACTTACTACCAAGCTGCAGTGTTGTATTTGGCTAGACACCTATCCATGGAATAGAATCAAGAGTCTGGAAATAAGCCTTCATGTTTGTAGTTGATTGATTTTTGACAAGCATGCAAAGAAAATTAAGCGGGGAAAGAATAGTCTTTTAATAAATGGTGCTGGGAAAACTGGATATCCACATGCAAAAGAATGAAGTTGGACCCTACCTCACGGTATGTGTGAAAAATTAAAATGGATCAAAGGACCTTAATTATAAAATCCCTGGAAGAAAACAAAAGCATACATCTTCATGACTTTGGATCAGGCAGAGGTTTCTTAGATAGGACACTAAAAGCACAAGGAACAAAAGAAAAAAGGTAAATTGAAATTCATCAGTATTAACAAACTTTTGTGCTTTAAGGGATTAACATCAAGAACATGAAGAGACGCTCACAGAAGGGGGAAAAACATTTTAAAATCACATATCCATCCGATAAAGGACTAGTATCTAGAATATATAAAGAACTGTTACAAGTCAGCAGTAAAAGACACTCCAATTTCCTTCTTTCTCTTTCTCCCTGCCTCCCTCTTTCTTTCTTTCCCTTCCTTCCTTGCTTCCTTCCTTTATGAGAGGGAGAGAGAGAGTGTGCACAGGGAAGGGGCAGAGAGAGGGAGACAGAATCTCAAGCAGGCTC